ATTCCCGTGCTCGAGCGTTTGGGGACGTCGGCATCTGCGACACCGTGCGAGGCGGGCGAGGCTGGACTTGAGACAAACGAGGTTGGACCTGGGACGGGCGACGCTGAACTTTGGACGGACGAGGCGGCATAGACAGCAATGCATTCGTTCCAATGTTATACATTACGTCCTCAGGCTGGGCTGTGTGGTCGGGATGAGCTGTGGAAGAGGGCGATACGCAGTGAACACAACTTACGAGCACCCTTACTTTTGAGCTCACGGCGTTGGAAGGAGCGAGCCACGGAGTCGTCAGAATCAAGAGGCGAAGCAAGGGGTGGATTCATGATGAGACGTATGTGTACGTTTGAAGGACTATGATGGGATGTGGGGGGCGGATGTTCCAATGAGGGAGGATACTCAGGGACTTATAACTATGGTCGGAGGAGCCGCTTTGACCTGGGGAGTGCTACCGCGCGAGGTGTAGGTGTGGCCCTGATGCTTTCTGCCGTGCATGGGACTATGCATGGTAGATCCAAGATGTCGCTATCATGGCCCTGCATGCAACTGAATAATAAAGCTAAGCATTGGGTCGACGCAGAAATCGAATCTCCGAGTGAGCGGAGCATACATACGAGGATTCCGGCCGGCGCGCGATAGGGGAGCATATGCGTCGATCCTGTCCAGGCTCCGTGATGCGTGGCCTATGCGTCCGGTGACTCGGCGGCGGCGGCGTTTGGTACAAGTCTCCAGAACGCACGGGCCTACACGCACGCTAGAGGTTGTTTTGACAACTGGACATTTCATGGCTCATAAAGCTCCTCGCCGGCGGAAGGGGAGTGAAGGCGGCAATCTGGGTTACGAGCAGCGCGCCACCTGTCAGCAGCTGCCAGTTTGTGGTCCTTACCGTGGAATCGTTGGAGAGGTCTTGTTTTTGCCCGTGAGCTGGGCAAGGTCTCCAAGGATGCCTTCCGTTGACTGCGGGGCGGAGGGCCGCTTATCCCATTTCCAACACAACGGTGCCTTTGTGCGTCCCATTACCTGGATCGATCAGTCGTCCGGGCCCAAGACCTGCCACCTCGTACCTACCGCCTGACAATTAATACAGCTTGCCCGGCTGTATTTCCATACTCCAATCGCACCTGCGTACCTCTGCACCAAGTTGTATCTTGGTCGAGCCGCAATTAAGCATCCGGGAGGATGCAGGATCCTGGTGCCTAAGGTTGCTGCAAAGGACTCGGAAGTAGTTCCGCCCAGCGGGATTGGTGGATCAGGCTACGTGGGAGGTGCATTTGCTTCCATTTTGCGCATCAATTGCACGATGGCAGGTGTCTAGGTCCCCTCTGGTTGACGGCATTCGCTAGAACTTGATGCCCCACCATGTGCCTTGTCCGACAGCGGATGGGGTTTAGTATGTACTTCGCTGTATGATACAGCGGCATGTTTCGATGTCTTATGCAGCGTATCAGCGCGCATAATCAGGATTCTGTAACACAGGTCTGGCATTGCCTCTTGAATCGATGTTTCGCTCGTGTGAGGAAAAAAAGGCGGCGCTAGCGCGATAAAAGACTGCGTCCGTCAGTTGGTCCGCATACCGTCTGTGAGTACTGCAAGTCGCGCACCATGATATCAATTGGACAGATGGTGCGAGGGGCCGACAGCGGGGTCGACGCTCGTCGTGTGTGCCAGGGCGCAGCACACTGGCCGCGGCTGGCGACCAAGTTGTACTCTGTTGTACGTGCACGCGCCGCTGCCACGCGACGGTATCGCGCGAGCGTCTGCGCAACCCGCGCGGGCGCCTGTGTGCGCGCGAGAACAAGCGCAAACAGGCGCGGGCGCGAACAGGCGCGAACACGCTCGAACACGCTCGACGACGATGAGCAACAACAATGAGCATCTTGCTCGCAGCCTCCCTATCGACGACCCACCTTAAAACTCGCTTTGGACACTATCTCTGACCCCTGTACTAGCCAGGAACTCTAGCGTAGCCTCGGTCATTGGCACATTTACACTCATTCTCCCAATCATGTTCGGATGCTTGGTCGCGGGACGGCTCCTCCAAACCAACCTGCAGCAAGTCGACGAGACGCACGCAATCTTCGAATTACCGTCTGCAGGAGCCATCAACCATGTTTGTGTGTTCTTGCTCGGTACAGGTACGTGTCAGCGTCGCTTCGAGTTGTTGACACCTATGTGAGCTGTGTTCGCATCACAGCACCTTTTCCAGACGGATATGGCGCAACAGTACACTTCTACTGGCCCGGGAAGGGGTTTCAATTGTTGGGAATGTGAGTCCTACACTCTGTCGCCAGAACGTGCTGCATGCGCGCCGTCGCAGGTATTGACCAGTCTCTAGGCTCTCCAACGACAAGCCATCAGCAATTTTCCGCCTTCGCGGCACGTTCTCTGCTCAAACCACGGACGCGCACGCAGTATTCTCCGGCGCAGCATCCGATGTGTCGCCCGCAGATGTCACCGCGATCCTTGGTCTTTCTATCGAGCCCCTCGCCCAAATCATGCAAGAAGTCTCGAGCCTCCCCTCCGCGGTGGTAAAGGCGAACAACAACCCGACGGCGGACGCAACCCGGCTGGCGGAGCGCATTGTTAAGCACCTCTTCAACTATGTGTCGAGCTTCGTTGGGGGCAATCCGTCGGCGTTATCGCCGGACTTCTTGATCCCCATGGGAGTCATCGCGAAGTGGTATGAGAACTTCATGGCGAAGGTTAGGAATACGGGGATAGCATTTTTGGAGAGGGAGGAGTAGCGAAGAAAGGTGCGTCTTCATTAATCGGAACAGCAACAGCCTCGCCAATGGCGGAGCTGAATTCGCGGTTTTATACACAGGAAAGAATGCTCAGACCATGTTGTCGATTGATGTACGATAATACACGGGAGTGTCACAAATCTACCACACACGAACGAGGCCATATATGCCTCCTATCAACTACTTGGCGGGTTGTCTGACGATGCACGATTGCGAGCAGTAAGCCGGTCATGAACGTTCAATCCACGCGTAGAATCACTCTTCAATTTCTGTTCCTTTCGAGTAGATCCAATGGCATAACGCGAAACCATCCTTCGCGATTTCACTGAACTCAATCCCTCGACTCGGCATCAGGATATGGATGGCATACTTTCGGAGGATCCCACGACTCAGGCGGCGCCCTGTGGAAGCCTCGGAACGTCACACCCTCAAGACACCTCGTGCCAACCCGCGAGCGCGTTACCGCAGTGACTGTGCGACGTTACCCTCCGGGCGCCTTGCAGCGACCTCCTCATCTGTCATCGCGTCCAGAGGTCGGCTTCCTCCCCCCACAGCTGCGTACCTACACCATCCAAGACATGGCCAACCTCTCACCAGCGCACGAACCCGCTCGCAAGCCAAACCACCTCTCAAATATACATTCGCAGGTGTTGTAACTCGCAGGTGTTGCAACATGCTACCTTGATGCCTCATCCCGTCTAGCGTTCTTCGCCGTGTAACCTCCAGACGCTGAAACTCAGCGATCTTCCAAGGATATTGCTAGAGGTATAAACCTAATCGCCGTTTCTGTTGCCTCGTGGATGTCACGTCGTTCTTCTACAGTCGCGTGCCCCGCAGTGCAGCAGGCCGCGCTGCGGTAATTTGGGGATGCAGCATGGTATAACAGTGTAGGTACACCACACCTCTTGGATTCGACCTCCCCGCCTACAACACTCGTATCCGGATGTCAGACAACGACATGGCCATTGCCGCTGCCAACCCTCACGCCGACGCGAACATCAACAGGATCTATGCCCCTCTTCCTCCCTATAACGACCCTGCTGCTGGGGACGCCATCATACGCACGTCCGACGGCACGGAGCTCCATGTTCGCAAGTCTCATCTGGCAATCGTTGGTCTCGATCCGAACGGCATCGTCACCGACATGCGTCCCACACACGGGAGCCCAAAGCCGGCCGTCGTCGTCCAAGAAACCGCCGCCATATGGGAGAAGGTCCTGCGTATATGCCTCATGCACGAGGAGCAGCCGTACACCCTCGACGACATCGCCGCGCTCCTGGAGGTCGGGCGCAAGTACGACATCGCGGGGATGCCCTCGCGGCTGCGCTACGCCCTCGTCCAGCCTGCGTTCCTCGAGAAGGAGCCCGTCCGCGTGTTCCTCGTCGCATGCGCGTACGGCCTCCACGACATGGCCGAGATCGCGGCGCGCCGCACGCTGGAGATCGCGACGCTGCGCCACAACCCCTTCGACGCCCTCCATGCTGCCTCTGCGGCCGACTACCACCGGCTCCTGGCGTATCGGGAGGAGTGTGGGAGGGCCGCGAGCGCGGTGACGCAGCCGCGGGTGGGCGAGGAGGTGCTCCCGGAGTGGATCTCAGGGAAGCCGGCGCACTGGAAGCCGCTATCGATGACGTGCGTCGGCGGGTGCGCGGTGAAGTCCAAGACGCTGCTGGTTGTCGAGGGGGAGGGCAAGCCGACGACCATCTATGTCCGCATTCGCGAGTCCTGGATCACATACCTGGAGACCCTTGGGGCGATGCTGGCAGAGCAGCCGCAGGCCTCCCTCGCCTCCTCCCCGGAGCTGATCGAGCCTGTGATATCGTCTGCGGTGGAATGCGCGCACTGTGCGAAGACGATCTATCCCTACTGCGTCGCGTTCTCTAGAGCTATGGAAGTCGAGATTGGAAAGGCTGTAGCGAAGGTCAGCGATACATTTTGAGTGTTCTTACTCTTGATATTGATCTATATTGCGTCTTAGGTGAAGCTTGCGCTTTAGTTGAACGATTCGTACCAAGGTGCTCTGTATCATGTTCTGTACGCTTTCTCAGTGTATACTTCGCAAGCGAGCTACTTCGATGTCTGTGAGCTGTAGGCAAACGGCTCATCTATATGATGTGGAAGGTTCTGCTCGATGCACCGTTCACTGGTATATCTGAAACGACATAGAACGTTCATGTTGTCAACGAAAGGTTCAAGCTTAGGACTAATGCTCCAGTGCTCTGTTTGCTAGTGCTGCTCGGCGCAGGTGTCAAAAGAATATGACGAGAGTGGGATTCGAACCCACGCCCGTGAGGACCAGATATGCGAAGAGCCGCCTTAGTCTGGCGCCTTAGACCGCTCGGCCATCTCGCCAACATTTAGCGCTCAGACAAGGCATACAGGTGGATCCAGGGCATCTAAACGCGGTCAGCTGCCTTTGGCGATCTACGCGTCCGCGCGTTTGGCGCGTGTTGTTCGGGCGCTTCTTTAAGCCACCGGTCCTTCAACATCACATTCATTTCTTCGGCCTCTGCCACTACCTCGTCCTCCACCACCACCTCGTCCTCGACTACCACCTCGTCTTCGACCTCCTCCCTCTTCTGTGAACAACTCGTCCTCAGCTTGGTAGCTCTTCTACGTTGTGCAACATGCCCCCTCCACCGAAAACTCCAAGTCGACACCGGTCTCGGTCGGAGACCAAGACGCCATTGACTGCCTCCATGTTCGGGGTCAATGCCACCGCAGACGCCTCCAATCCGTTTATCGTCCCCAGCAGGCCCGCATCTCCGATCAAGAGGGCTACTTCGTCGTCTCTTCAGGTCTCCGAGAGCCTCCAACGGCAAGCCAGCTCAGGCCTTATACGCAAAGGGGGAGTAGAGAGCAGGTTGGACGTAGTCACACGCGACTACGTGCCTCCTAAGTCGGAGAAGCGTTCACGCTCACAACCCACAGTGAGTTTTATGTCTTGATTCATGCCCGCAGAAGTCCTGCGAGGTCAGTGTCGAAGGAATTGGTACAGACCGCTCGAAGAGCATAAGTTTGAATGGTTTGGCAGCAATCACGAGAGCTGCCATATGTGAACGAATTGCATCCCTCATTTGCTCATTAGATGACCATGAGAATGGTGTGAACACATGATTCCTTGAGACGCCAGCTGCTCCATCATGCCACTCATCAATTTGAGGTACACAGTGGCACAGCAGGCGGTCTTCTTTCTTTCTCTCCCTCTCTTTCCCTTGCCTCAAACCATCATGGACTCACCAGAATCCCCTACACAGAGAGACACCCGCGACCGCTTCATTACGACTCGCGACACCGCAGATGAAGTCGCCGCTACGCTCGACCTCATGTCGCTCAACCCTCAGTCGGCCTCACCTGGCCACACAGCGCGTCTTGCCGCGGCGACGGGCGTGCCACTCAATCGTCGTGTCCTGGCCTACCATGAGCCACCGCCGACTGCGTCGTCCGATCCGCTCATGGCACAGGCACGAGAACTCGTTCGCCCTTTGTACGCGCGTGCGGGCTCGGCGCCTGCCGGCAGCTCCGGGACGACTGGCAAGGACCGCAAGATCTCCACATTCCCGTACAAGATCCTTGACGCGCCCGGGATGCTTGATGATTTCTACCTGAACTTGATCTCATGGGGCTCGCAGAACGTTGTCGCCATCGCGCTCGGGAGCAGCGCATACATCTGGAAGGCGGATACCGGCGAGGTTGTGCTTGTCTCGGAAGGCCCCGAGGACTCGTACATCTCATCCCTGGACTTTTCCAACGATGGCCAGTTCCTCGGCATTGGCTATCCCTCAGGCACGGTCGAACTGTGGGACGTTGAGGCGCAATCGAAGCTGCGCACGATGACCGGGCACTCCGCGCAGGTCGGTTGTTTGTCGTGGTACGCGCACCTTCTCAGCTCGGGCTGTCAAGACGGAAGCATCTGGCATCACGACGTGCGCGTCGCACGGCACAAAGTCATGGAACTCCTCGGACACCAGGGCGAGGTGTGTGGACTGAAGTGGCGCCCGGACGGCGAGTTATTGGCGAGTGGAGGAAACGACAACGTCCTCAACGTGTGGGACGGGCGCATCGGCGACGTTGGAACTCCGAGTTCGAGCGCACGCTCTGCCGCGCGCTGGACGAAGCGCAACCACACTGCGGCAGTCAAGGCCGTGGCGTGGTGCCCATGGCAGCCTGCACTCCTTGCGTCGGGCGGCGGGACGTCGGACGCGACCGTGCATATCTGGAACACGACCACTGGCGCGCGCCTGCACTCGCTCGTGACCCCCGCTCAAATCTCGTCGATTCAGTGGTCGCCGCATCGGAAGGAGTTCATGACCACGCACGGGTACCCGACGAACGCGATCATGGTTCACAGCTACCCGTCTATGGAGAAGGTGGCCGAGATCCGAGATGCGCATGATTCGCGCGTGCTCTTCAGCGCGCTTGCGCCGAACGGAGAGCTGGTGTGCACGGCGGCTGGAGATGAGAACCTGAAGTTCTGGAAGATTTGGGAGGCGCCGAAGGTGAAGAAGGGCAAGGACGCGAAGGACTCTACTTCGCTCGGGCGTACGAACAGCGGGATCCTCAGCATCCGGTGAAGAGCTGGAGCTCTCTTGGTGTTGCGAATGTGTTTGGCTTGTATACATGTACCAGTATCTCTCGTTTTATCTTGCGTACGCTAGTCGTTGATCGCATCCAGTCCATGTTTTGCAGACGATACAGACTATGAATCTTGTTGTGATCTGTGATGTTCTGTGTCGCCCGCGGTCCTCTGCTGCCATTGGTTCGTTTTGTTGAACTGAACACGATCGTCACGTCGGCTTGTTCGCTTGCCGTGGCTGTCGATCTATGTTGAACTTGAGTTTCAGTACGCTCACTCCCACAGCTCTCCTCCCTCTTGCAACATTACTACCACCACATTACTACCCCTTCCACTCATTTGGACATGCGATTCCCGCGCCTCTCCCATCTCTTCCACCGTCGCGCAAAGTCGGACCCGGAGCTGAATCGCCTGGCCTCGGCGCCCATGGCGGCACTGGCAACGCGGCCAATCTCCACTACATTCCTTGCGGACTCACTCGCGCCCTCGACGTCCTCGGACCTCTTCACGACCCACGGAGTTGCGGCCGCGCCCTTCCTCTTCCCCGCCCCGCCACACTTCTCCGTCAGCGGACCGCCGAGCGCCCCGTTTTACAGCCGGTCTGCAGGGGTTCACGACGACCACCCAAGAAGCATCGTGGCCGTGCTCACGCATCGAATCCGCGACCTCGAGGGTGCGCTGCGAGAGGAGCGCGAGGCGCACGAGGCTGCGCTGGAGGCGAACGGTGCGTTCGCGGACGACGCGGCGGCGATGCAGGCGGAGATCCTCGAGCTGCGACGTGAACTCCTTTCCGCGCTGGCAGCCGGTGGGCAGGGCCCGTCGGCGTCCAGTTCGGCGGAGTCGGATGGGCAGCTTCACACGTCCGCGTTGGCGGCGGAGTGCGCGCGTCTGCGGGGGTTCATTGGGGTTATGCTCGCGGCAGGTGAGCCCAAGCCCGTCGTGCAGTCCGCGTACGATCGGGTTCTCGAGGGCGAGGAGCCGGAGGCCGCGCTCGTCGCGGCGATCAAGCAGGCGGTCGCGCAGCCTGGCAACGTATGGCGACAGCTCCTTGACCCTGTCACCGGCGTGCGGACACGAGACGACTACCTCGCACAGGTGCGGTGTACGCTGAGCGCGCGGGCGCAGACGCAGGACTGGCGCAAGCGCGCGAAGTTCTGGAAGCAAGCGGCGAAAGAGGACGAGCGTCACGGAGAGACCGTAACGCCGTCCGTTTCTGCTATTTCCGCAGTGATCGATGCGCTGCCGCAGGAGCGGCGGGAGAGGGTGGACGAGTTCCTGGGTAAGATGGAGGCCGGCGGTTTTTCTCTTCGCGTCGCGCGCACCGCGATTCCACAGGCGGACTCGATCGTGGCTCGTATCGACGAGGTGCTGCAGGAATGGACCGTGCCAGACGGTGAGCCTGTATCTGTGCCGGAGTCTACCTCCGCCGCCTCGTCGTCTTCGTCCGCGAACCGCTCCGACGATGTTCAGGCCATGGCCGATGTCAACACCAGCATAGTAGAGGAATCGACGTCTGCGCCCGCCGAGATCCGTCTCCCCGCGAGCTCGTCTTCGATGGTGCTCCCCGCTACACGTTCGACGTCCCCCACGCGCATGTTCGCCGTCCACAGCAACCTTCCTCCCCTCGCGAGCGAAATGTTCCGGGCAAGCCATTCGATTAAGACCTTGTCCTCGCGGGGCTCGCGACGCAGCGCCCTCGGCACGCATATGGTCACCTCTCCCACCGGCGAATCTTCTCTCGGGCTAGGCGTGCGCGACTCAGGGAACAACATATCCGCGTCCGCGTCCGCGTCCACGCAGAACTCAACCAAGTCCCGGTACCGCCGCACGAAGGTTGTGGCTGTGCCCGTCGTGGCGACGTGCGCACCGACGACCACCACGGGCGCCCTCGTGGCGTCGATAAAGCAGAAGACGTCGCGGTGGTCGTTCTTTGGGCCCTCGCGCTCGGCGACTTCTGCGACTTCTGTTGTCGTGCACGAGGAGGAGGTCGGGTCTGTGCCAGTCGAAGCGGCGCGCGGCACTTCCACCAGCACTGAGGCGTTGCCAGCTGCTTATTCGGACTCCCCATCTCACGACACCCCGTCCTTTGATTGCTCAGTCGAGACAGCCGTAGAACCGGAAGACCTCTCGCCCAGGACGCCCAACCGGCTCTCGCCGCCTCGGCTGCCCAAAGCGCTCCTGGACTTCGGCAGCAGCCCGGACGACGACCTCGTGCTCGTCCTGCACAGCGACTTCTCCGGGTCGTCGTACCACACGACCATGCAGAGCCCGCCCGCGTCGCCGACGCGCCCAGTACCCGGTGCGGGCCTGGGGAGTGCGCACACGACGCCGGAGAAGCGGTCGCGCCTCCCGGTGCGCATGCCGGGCATGCGGGCGATCAAGCGTTTCTCGGCATCGATCAACATTTCGCGGCCGGTGCTGGTCGACACCACGAACGCGGGCACGTTTGCGTTCTCTGCAGCACCGAGGCAGGCACCGGTGGTGCAGAAGGGGGCGGGGACGGGTGGAGGGGGACGTGCGAGGGCTCCGAGTGCGGCTGGGACTTCGCCGCCGAGGCCGAGTAAGATTCCGATGGGCAGGAAGTTGAATAGGTTTGGCCTTGGAGGGCAGGTTTAGGCTTTTTTATGCTCGTGATACCTGTTTGGTGCAGATGTAGACTATCGTCTTCTGCACTGGGAAGGGTGTTCTGTCGTTAGCGTGTGAGTATCTACTTTTTTGAGATCTCACCATGTTTTTTGATGGCCTGCAGAACAGATACAATATAAGTACTAGGACC